GCCCTGCCAAAAGGCACGAAAAAAAAAAGATTGGCAGCAGCGGTCCGGCATGTGACCGCTTTTGTTTGTAGCTGTTTGCCTGGCAGCATAGTCTTCAGCTAGTGTGCAGCTAGATCAACAGTCTCTGCTGGCTTCTCTAGTGGATGGTCCCTATAAGCCAGGACCTGCTTAATAAGTCCTGTTATCTGCACCAGTGTTGGGCCCTATGGCATAGCTGCTTCCAGGCTCACAGTTGCTTTGTGGTGGCTCCAGACTGGTGCCCCTGCACTAACGCTAGTGCTTCTATAGCTGTTGGGGTTTCCCTGGGAAGTTTCCTGCCCAGCAACTGCCTCTGCTTAGCTTCTGAGAGTCCAGGGGCGTGATCAGCTCATTGCCATCAGATGTGTAACTGATGGGACTTGAGTGAAGGGACCAGCAGGTTCTAGGAGTGTGTTAGGTTCTGCTCTCATGGTCTGCAACAGGACAGTATCTGCTACGGCTGTGCTGCTCCACTTGCCTAGTCCAGCACTCCCCCCCACCCCATGCTCTGTCTCTCTAGCCCCCTCACCTCCCTGCTGTTGGCCTCAGGACTCTATTGAGGTTAGGGCAGCCTTCGAGTTAATTTTAATCTGACCTGAGAGTGTTTTCAACGCCAGCGTGTCACGTGAATCTGTTGTAGAGGGTCTGGATGCCTCTGGGAATGGTTGGCTGTAGGCATTGAGTATTTTGTATGCGCTGCTGGGCGTATGGTCTCTCCTCATGCAAGAGTGAGGGGATTTCAAATGGAAAGGCAACCAGTTTTAAATGGGTAAAAATAAATCCTCTTGACATAACAAAATTGACCCATGGATCCATTTCCACGAGAGACAGGACAGTGACTAGTTTGCTGGGGTTTGAAAGGAGGAGTAGGTGTGGACATGCATGGGTCATCTCATCCACAGTTCCACTACACGGTACACATCAGGCATTGAATGGATTTCAAATGGAAAGGCAACCAGTTTTAAATGGGTAAAAATAAATCCTCTTGACATAACAAAATTGACCCATGGATCCATTTCCACGAGAGACAGGACAGTGACTAGTTTGCTGGGGTTTGAAAGGAGGAGTAGGTGTGGACATGCATGGGTCATCTCATCCACAGTTCCACTACACGGTACACATCAGGCATTGAATTCGCATCGGCTTTTCCATAGCTGACCGCTAGGGGGTTTCTTGCGTCTTCCTCGCCATGGGGGATCAGCAGCTATGCTAGCTGGACCCATGGGTGGTACCGTACAGTGGCGTCTGCGTGCCAGTGGGGAGCCGACAGCCTTGTCTGTATTTGGTTCCCCCGCCTGCACTAAAGGGCTGATTTTTAAGCTGAATGAGTTAAACTGAAATAAAGCCTCGAGCGGACACCTCCGTTGGATCGAAACGCTGTCTGTAGCAATTTGTCAGCTCAGTGCCCACCTAGGGGTTTGTGCCAGCACAATACAATTTGGATTGTAAACAGATTTAGAGTGTCACTTGTGCAACCTTGAAAAAAGACCAGCTGGTCTACATGTCACAGCTACCACTGGCAGCAGGACCTTGGTGCTAATTGTGTTACGATCAGCTGATGCTGCACAGGGATCTCCATCTTGTTTTGCAAGGGGGGCGCTGCACGTCTGTCAGATCAGCAATGGGCAACCTAGGCGAGTGAGTGGGCCACATGAGTGGCCTCCTCCATTGCAGTGGGCTACAATATGGTCGTGCCTTGGCTTTGCATGTGTCTCTTTAGTCAGGCCAGTAGGAAAAAATGACGCAGACAGAAGTTGCCGGAATCTGACGCCCCTGTGCATGGATAACGCTAAGCAAATGTCTCGCAGGCCACACGTAGATAGAGCCCCGATGGGCTGCAGGGTGCCCACCACTGCGTTAGATGGTGAATTTTCAGTCCCCTGGAGCCTGGTTCACTTTTGGATTGACAAAACCTGCAGTTGGAAGGGTTCCTAAGCTGCTCCACTCTAGTGGAAGCTTCAGTTTTCCAAAACCTAAAGTCCATTCCTGTTGGAATTAGCTCCCTAGGGAGTGGCCTTTGCTGTAGCAGAATGGGAGAGACGTGCACCCCATCAAAATGATACGAGGCAGCTAATGCGTGTGTCTCCTGTTGCATCGGAGGGGGGTTCTGGTGGGCACAGGGTGTGTGTTGCTCCTAACCGCCGAGGTCCTGCAATCAAGTGACTCTCTCACTTTTCACAGGTACATTTCTAGTCCTCTTGATCATAGAATCCTAGCACTGGAAGGGACCTCTAGAGCCATCAGGTCCAGCCCCCTGCCCTCACAGCAGGACCAAGCACCGTCAAGACCGGGTGTGGCCAACTCAGTGTCCACTGCCAAAGAGCTACAGTCATTGGTCCGCAGACCTCTCCCGTCTCCAGCATCTTTTGCCCACCAGTAGCCTCACTGGTGCCGCCTCTTCCTTCCCTGTGCCTCCTGCTCACTGCAATCAGCTGTTTCATGGCCCTCAGGAGGCTCTGCGGGGGAGGGCAGGAAAGAGGGTGCAATGCGCTTGGAGGAGGAGGTGGAGCCAGGAG